AGGAGGGACCTGTGTGCACCAGGATACAGATACACCCAGGCAGGGCAGTGAGTGAGATGCAGAGATGGACAGACAAACAGGTTGATGTGGATGGGAGGGCTGATCAGGACATGGGAAGCACATGCCCAGGCTGTGGGAGAAAACCCTTCCTCTCCCTGTGAGCTGGCAGGACACTGGGCTCAGCAGGGGATGCACTGGGCAGCAGGAGCATTAGGCTTTGAACCCCCTTTAAGGCCCCACTGCTCAGTGCCACCCCTTGTGCAGGTGGCCAGGTGCACCCACCCCAGCCAGGTAGGCACCCACCGAGCCCTGAAGGGCTGTGCTGGTGCCAGTGGGGGCAAACCAGACTCCAGGGAACCAGGAGTGGCTGTGTGGACTCCAGGCCCCTGCTCCTCATTGGGGAAAAAATACTTATTTGGGGATAAACTATTGATTAGCTGAGAGAAGAGGCAAAGTGCCATGAGCTCTGCCCAGTCACCACTCTCACCCCAGTGCCAGGCAGGTGTGGGGCTGGAGGGGAACTGGTGGGTGTGAGGCTGCAGGTGAACTGGTGGGTGCAAGGCTGGTGGGGAGCTGGTGGCCTCTCCCCGACTGAGACATTTTCTGCTCCGTCATCCTGAGTTTTCTGCTCTGTTTTGCCAGACTTGCAGGGAAGGTGGCACGGCGCGTTCTCCCAATGCCATCTAGTGTCTGCTCCGGCCTCTCCAGACACTTCTGCTAAGGCATCAGAGCTGATTTATTGCAGAAGGATCTTAGAGGGCCAACAGGCTGCCCGGGCAGATTATTAACAGCAGCACAGATAACTAACCGGTGGGTGCCAGGTAGGGATGGATTATTTTTATTATCGCTCCCATGTCGCCCTAAATGCTCATCCCGGCAGGATGCAGAGTGAGGATGCAATGGCATGTCCGGGGTGATTAAAGTCTTGCAATCTTCAGCCACTTGTCTTGTAGCCCCGAAATCACCTGAGGCTTAATCACTCAGAAAAGTGCTGTCAGGTCCTATTGTCGCCGTATTGGGAGCGCGACCTCTTTCCCATCTAGCTGTTTCAAAATAGTGTAACCTGCCAGGGGACAGGAATGACTCAGGAGACTGGTAATGGGATATAAAGACTTTGGCCTGCGGGTCACCCGTTGGAATCTGTCAAGGTCGGTAGCAAGGGCAAAGATTATTTGATTATTTGGCCAAACACGCCCATACAAGTGTTAATGGCCCATCCGAGGCACTCAGCAGGGTGAGAGCATCCAGGTCCCCCAACCCGCCTGGATTTTGGGGCTCTGTGATTGCCCATAGTCCCCTCCAGTTTAGGAGTTTGTCCTCCACATCCTTCCCTTGCCATCATTGCAGGGAAATTGTCTGCAGACTGGGGATGTGCTTCTTTCTGCCTTTTTAGGGGCAAAGAGGCACAGAGCATCCCCCCCCCGTGCCCCACTCATCTGCCTCCCAGTGCAGGGGAAGGCTCTGCAGGTGTGCCCTGTCCCCCTGCTCTGCTCACCATCATCATGATTTAGGTCTCTGCTAACCTCATCCCCATCCTCAGCCACCGCTGACCGTGTGAATTTATCTCCTCTGTAGCAAACCACCTCAGCGAGGCAGTTTGAGTGTGTGATTAATTAAGGTCTCCCTAGAAATGAGGTTACTCCCTGCAGCCTCACGTATAAATGTTGGATTAATGGATGCTGACCGTGTTAGCCACGACCAGGCTGGGCTGGGAAGGGTTTGCCTGCTCTCCTCCAGGCACTCCTGGAGGATTTCCATGGAAGAGGTTCTAAACAACCCCATGGGATGGGGAATGCAGCACAGTGGGGAGTACCAGGGCACAGAACAGCCAGTTTGGCTGCAACAGCACCTGATGCTCTCCCAGTGGCTGAGCCAACATTCAGCCTGCTCAGTGTGTTTAATTTCCACTAATCTGTTTGGGGTTTTTTTAATTATCTGCAAACAAGGTGCCTTCTTGGAATAACAATGGTGCTGGGGACAGGGAGCAGTGGGAGGCTGAGCTGCCCTTCCCAGCACTGCTCGGAACTTCGCCCAGGACCTGTTTGTCTGTCGTTATCCAGCATCAATAATGGGATTCCACCCTGATAACCAGCATCACCGACAGCAGGAGCGAATCCTGCTGAGCTGCTGTGGAAAATCCTTCGCAATCATCGTGTGCTTCGGAGCTGGAGGAGGGTTTAAATACAAGGTGCTTTAATAAGAGGAAAACAGTCCTTTCTTTCCCCACTGGTTTGTGCTCACTCTTTCATGCTGCCACAGCCCTCGGGTTGTGTCAGGGCCTGGTTCTCCTTGTGTTGACAGGTTTCCTAACTCCTCTCCCTGCACTGTCAGCACAGGATCAGGAGCAGCAGGTACCAGTTGCAGCAGCTGGAGGGGGTGGGAGCTCAGCCAGTGCCGCTCAGGAGCAGCTTTGTCCCCCAAAACTTCCTCAGTTGCATCAGTGACCTGGAAAAACACCCTGTGCCTCAGTGTGTGCAGCAGGAAGATGGGTCTCATCCCATTCCCCTGCCTCCTCCAGAGCCAGCCGTGATGTTTGATTCATGTCAGTGGCTTGGCTGGTGACTGTGGGATGAATGACGCTATATAAATGCAAAGTGTTATTAATATTTCATGTTGTAGTGAAAATGTACTAATGGGGCTTGTTCCTGGAAGATAAAGTGCTGCCATTAATACACCTCTGTGTCCTCAGTGCCCGGGACTCACCTGTGGAGGGGTGGAGGGTGCTCTGCCTCCAGCCCAACACCAGCAAAAACTGCCCATTGCATCTGGCAGCTCTGCAGAAGAGAGGATTGGTTTTAAGCCAAAAGCCACAGGAGCTGCTTCAGACACCCACAAAATTAGGGGCACCCTGGGCAAATCTTCCCCCACCACTGGGTGCTGGTGGATGGTGCTGCTCTGTGCCCTCCCTACCTGCCCAAGGGGGTACACAGCCCCTGGGAACTCCCTTCCCAGCACAGCCACTACCCAGGCATGTCAAAAAAAATAAAAGTGGGCTTGTTTGATTTCAAACTGCAGAACTCTTCCCTGGAGCCATCCGCAAACACTGGTAATTTACTTTACAGCTGTTTAGATTTGTTTCTCTACGTTGTGGTTTTGTTTTTTTTTTTAAACCCCAGCAGAATTGCAAATGAAACGTTGTGTTTGCTACTCAAATGACTCCAGCCATACCTGAGCTCCAGCACCCCAAACCTTCTCCTTGGAACCACACCTGCTCCTGGGACCTCCATCCCAGTATCCCTGAGCTGTGAGATGGGGGTCAGAGCTCAAAGAGGGAGTTCTCTGAGTTTAAGGGCTCATCCTGGAAAGGCTCCAGGTTCTGGCATCAGGGAGGGGTGATAGGGAAGAGACTTGTGCCAGCTTGCAGGTGAGGGGAGCACAGGTAAGCAGTTACTTAATTCCCAGTGAATTCATTCTCCCACTCATCAGAGGGTGGGGAAGGATAAAGGCTCTGCTAAATTATTGCCACGGTGGAAAGCAAAAAAAAAGGATTAGAAAGGGAGGTGTTTGGCTGAGCAGCTCCCAGTGCCATGGGCAGGGGCTCCCAGGGCTTCAGCCTAGTTGGAGCAAGGGGAGACGGGTGCAGGGAAGGGCTGGAGGGACCCCAGGTGTGCTGAGCACCCCAAAATCTCTGCAGCAGCTGAGAGCAGCCACTCTGAGCTCCCACCACCCTTCCCCGTGACAGAGCAGCCAGCACAGCCCTCTCTTCACTCAGCAGGTTCAGCCCTTGGCCTGGGGAAAGCTACAGGACACGTGGGCAACTGTCTGGAGGCTCATCCCTTCCCCCTGGGAATCTCCTCCTCGTTCAGGAGCACAGAAATGACTCATGTGTGGAGCCTCTTGCACAGGGCGATGCTCCCAGCCCAGGGCGAGCACCAACCTGCAGCAGCACCGGCCTCGACCGAGGGAAACCTGCAGGTACGTGGTGTGGGGACACCTCTGCATCCCCAGCCCTGCAGAGGGGGACTGGAGCTGGGGAAGATGTGTCTGCCCCAGGGTGCAGAGCCCGACCCGACCCCAGGGTGATGGGAGCATCCTGGGAGTGTGCACGGGGAAGGAGGAATCTGGGGATTTGTGTGTGTCCCTTCTGGATCGACCCAGTGAGACTGGAGCCACTGGTTCCCACGGGAGGAATGAGCACATGGACCCTCTGTGGTCACCCAGCCCTGGGAGCGTTGGCCTGGACAGGCTGCACAGAGCAAGGGGATGTGTTCACCCCTGGGAGCTCCTCAGTGGGGTGAAATCTTGTTATTTTACTGAGAGGTGAAATATCTAAGGAGAGTCACTGCCAAACACAGCCCTGGGAATCTCACTCGGCTGCAGCTCCGCATCACACGGGGTGTGTTTATCCGGCACGGTGCAAACTGGGGGCAAATCATGGTGAAAATTGGTCGTTGTGGCCAGCTCCTCAGCATTGCAGGGCTGTGCAGGCCCTGAGCCCACCACTGTCTCTGCTCCACCGAGGCCTCCCCCATGCGTGGGCACAGCGTGATGGGCACAGAGCTCTCCCCGTGATGGGTGGGAGAGCAGAGGCTGCGGCAGATTCCAGCGATGGGAGAGGACACGGTGGTGCAGCCAGCTGAGTCACGCCCCGACTGCTCCTATTTGTCCTCTGCTGGGCCAGGCCTGGCAACATAAGGGGAATTTGACAACAAATACCTGGGCATGTGGCAGGAGTTGAGGTGAGCAGTGTGGTGTGGAGGGCTGAGCTGTGGGCTGGAGCTGGTGGTAGCTGGAGGATGCCGCAGCTGCAGCAGAGCCCCCAAGCTTTGCCAAGCCTCTGTGTCCCCAAAGTGGGGGACAGTGCTCAGCAGAGACACATCACCCCAACCAGGTCTGTGCTGGGGCACGTGTCAGTGTGTGTCCCTGTGTGTGAGCATAGGCCAGGGATGGTCCACAGAGCATGGCTCGGTGCTTTGGGTGGCTCTGGTGGGACCTCTCATTGCTTCTTTAGTGTCACAGTGTCTTCTCTCTTCCAGGCCAGCTAACAGCACCAGGGAGCCATGAACTGGTCAGCATTCAGGGACCTCCTCAAAGGGGTCAACGAGTACTCCACAGCCTTCGGCCGCATCTGGCTCTCCCTCATCTTCATCTTCCGCCTGTTGGTCTACGTGGTGGCGGCTGAGCGGGTCTGGAGCGACGACCACAAGGACTTTGACTGCAACACGGAACAGCCAGGCTGCATTAATGTTTGCTTTGACCACTTCTTCCCTGTCTCCCACATTCGCCTCTGGGCCCTGCAGCTCATTCTGGTGACCTGTCCATCCCTCCTGGTCATCATGCACGTGGCCTACCGGGAGGCCAAGGAGCAGAAGCTGCGTGAAGCCAGCGGGGACAGCTACCGCCACATCTACACCAACCCGGGCAAGAAGCGAGGGGGACTGTGGTGGACGTACCTGCTCAGCCTCATCTTCAAGGCTGGTGTGGACATGGTCTTCCTCTACATCTTCTACCGCTTCTACAGGAACTACACCCTGCCCCGGGTGGTGAAGTGTGAGCTGCTCCCCTGCCCCAATGTGGTGGATTGCTTCATCTCCCGGCCCACCGAGAAGAACATCTTCACCCTCTTCATGGTGGTCACCACCTGCATCTGTATCATGCTGAGCCTCATCGAGGCTTCCTACTTGGTCA